TTGAAAGCAGTGAAAAAAGTAGTCAAATAGAGATTATGGATGTGATCTGCAAGGCAAAATAGTAAGAAAGTTATCCCAAAAGAAGCCTAAATTTGTTTGTGCACTCCTTTTCTAGAAAGAAAGGCTTTTTTTTTTTCATTCATGCAATAATAAAATGATATAAAAAACCTTCTCATTTGAACCCACACTAGCACACTCACTTGCACTAATTTTATAATTAAATTTTTATAATTATTTAGCCATGCATCCATTTGACGCATATTTATTAGCTTTTTATAAAGTTTAATGTTTATTAAAATTATAGTTGGAGTAATACTCATGATGACACTCGGTGATCTAAGTGTGATTTTTATTAGTTCTTTGTAGAATATGATTATGTCGAACAATCTCATTGTCCTATTGACTCAGATCTCAATTTCGTTATTTGATTTGTATCTACAACACTGAGGTGCCATGGACCCCTCTAAGATAGAGAATTCAGTGCCGAGGTGCTGTGAGATAGAGAACCCAATGTCGCGACATTGCAAGTCTAGAACTGCGGCGCTGCGGGCTAATTGGTTTTCTTTTGGTATTATGTAATGTGTATTCGTATGGGAGTCATGCTCTCGAGTTTTTGAAAGTCTGTGAAAGCCATAAAAGAGTGCGAAAGATTAGGATTTATCCAATTTCTCTTAGTTTCATAGTAGATTTTTGATTTGGTAGATCTATGTTGTTTTTCTCATTTTCAAAATTTTCACATAAATTAAGATGTTCTTTCTTCGCTATTTTTTCTACTTTGTTCCGATTTGTTTACTCTCAACATTTTTTTGGTCATATTAATATTTTTTCCCCACTGTGAAATTGTAAGTGCACACCAATTTTAAGAAATATATTAACCTACGGAAGCTTCTATTGTTTCTTCACGTACTTGAAATTCGCATCTGATTTGGGTGACAAATGTAGTTTGTCAAACTTTTTCTCTATTATTCGAGTTTTCGACGATGAAGCCTGAATACCTCCATCAACTTTCTTCAGATTTGAGCAAATTATTTACAGAACATCTTTCGCCAGAATCTCATTTTCATCTATACTTGGCAAGTATATTTTCATTGACTTGAACTAATTTGATTAGAGTCCTCATGTTTATATACTCCATACATAGAGCTGCAAACAAATCGAGTCAAGTTGAGTATATATTTGTTCATGTTTGATCTTGTTTGTTAAGAACTTATTCAAGCATTGTTCTAGCTTGATTCGAGCTTTTCTTTTTGTGTTCAAGTTTGATTCGTTTAAAATGATACATATTCATACTTGGATTGTGTTCGATTCGTTTTGTTTATCTAGCTCTAAACGAGTGGCTTGTTTATAAATTAATGAATGCGACTTATTGAGCTATTAGCAAACAAGCATTACCGATTTATTAACAAACAAGTCGAGCTATTAATGAACGAGCCTTTAATTAGTAGCTTATCAAGCTCACAAATGATACTTTTAATAAACAAGCTTCTTAATGAACTTTGAAAACAAACATAAACAAGCATACTTCGATTGGAAACAAACATAAACTTGTGAGTACGATAATTAGGGCCAGAAAATAATATGGAATTGAATTTTAGCACTATATTATTACAATGAAATAACAAAGTGGTTGCAATTGTGAGATTATTGATCGCTTTTATAATCTGATTTAATTGATCTCCATATGATCAAATATTAATCAATTTCGTAACAAGCTTGTTCACGAGTTACTTATCGAGGTTAGCATCGATCATGAATTGAGATATGTAAGGAGCTTCTTATCAAATTTGTTCATGAACTTTAAACGATGTTGTTCATGAATATAAATGAGTATAACGTATAGCTGTTCAAATTTGTTTATTTAATCATCAAGTATTTAAAAAAATATTCAAACTTTTTTTACTACTTAATCAAATGATCACGAACGAGCTATATACAATAAAGCCGAGCCACGAATAGCTTTTTGAACGCTCAAACGCTCAGCTCATTTGCAGTGTTATTGTCCATACATCATCTTACATTCTTAAAAGTATTTATATAAATCCAATCTGCATTCACCAAATTATCCAACAAATAAATGAAGAATTATAAACATTATATATGTTAATATGTTTGATTTTGTTTGCTCTCGATCTCAATCTATTCTAATTGATCTCCACGCCTTCTTCAACATCATAGTCATGAATAAGACGGATACAAAGCTTTGAGTTGAGGCTTCAAACATGGTGACCTTCTCCATGCATTAATATGCATCCTCAAGATCTCCTTCACCAACTTCCTCGTGCTCTTCTCACATTCCATCTGAAGCAACAAACAAAGCTTGGAAACAACGCCCAGTTCCAACATCTCTTCGACCACCGCCGGCGTTGCCTGGTTCAACAATATGGAATACAGCACTCTCACCGCCCTATCCGTCGTCACCACCGACACTCTCATCATCTTCTTAGAAACCACGGCCAGTCCGGCGGCATGCCCCACCACCTCCTCCCTACCCTCCGCGCACCCGCAAAGCTCGTCAAGCACCACAATCATCATCTCACACGCCCTTCTCTCTGGTTCGTCGAGAAGGAGCTCAATCAGCACGTTGACTGCCCCGGCTTTCACCGCTTTCACCGTGCTCCTTCCCCACGGGGAAACCTCATATAGCACCTGCAACGCGGCTTTCATTGCTTGGTAAGAGATGCGGTCTCTTAACACCTTGACTATTTCTTCAAAAAATTCTTGCTTTATGCAAATTAACTGCGAGGGTGGAAGCACAGAAATCAGAGCTTTGATGAGCAGAACCGCATGGGCCCGAGACTGATAATTGGCTGAGCGACGAAGGATGTCAGTCAATGAAAGAAGAAAGTCTTGGTTCCGTTCGAGCAGGTCGCCGAGGCTTTGTTGGGAGAGTTGGAGAGTGTAGAGGATGCTAACGGCTTCATCACTTTCCAACACCGCTTCGGAAGGGGGGGTTACGATGAAGGAGGCAAGGAAGTCAATGGCGCCGGGGGTGGCTTCGACGCAGCGTTTGTTGCGCTCGCTTTCGGAGACGATTTTCTTGAGTTTGGCGAGGGAGGAAAGATTGGATTTTGGGAGGCGGTTGGCTTCCTCGAGAAGGGTGGAGATTTGGGCTTTGTCGACGGGAGGGCGGGGGGGGGGGAAGCGTTGGATGCCGTAGGCGGAGTTGGCGGAGCACCAGGACTGGATGAGGCGGCGGAGGGTGTGGTTAGGGGTGGTGAGATCAGATTCCGGTAGGGTTTGTTTGGTGACGGGGCAGGTGCTGTGGTCGGCGGAGGAGTAGAGCCACTGTTCGATGCTTTCGCGGTCGTAGGTGATGCCGGTGGGGAGGGTGACGGGATCGCGCATGATTTGGAGGGATATGGGGCATAGGAAGTAAGAAGGAACTTGGATTTCAGATTCATCCATGGCGTGGTGTTGGAGAAGAAGACGGTGGTCCTTTTGGTTTCTGCGCAGGCGATTTGTAGAGAGGAAAGAAGAGGATGCGGGTTTTATAAGGGGAAGATGTACAGCGCGTAGAATGAATCGTGGACTGCGAGGGGAAGGGGTCCATGCCACGAGCGGTCTTTTTGGGAGGCTGCAATTGAATATATATTTCCCGCTTAAGTTTTTTTTTTTTAAAATTAATTAATTTTTAGTTTATCATTTAACATAATTAAATGATTTTAAGATATGTAAATTTTTTTATGATTATAATATTTTTTAGAAAAGAGAAAATTGATATCGGCTACAAATTTTTATAACGTTGACTATAAAGTTATTGTGGAGAAAATAATTTTGTTATTATAATTGTATAAAATAGTTTTTTCATTGATTAATTTAAAATAAAAAATTAAGAAAATAATAGTAGAATAAAATTCTTGTTATTATATGAGAACAAGGCAGCTAGAAAACTATTCCAAACAATCACTTACTTTAAATATGGTGCATTTATAGTGAAAATATAAAAAAAATCTTTTAATTGCATAAATATTTTCATTTTATAAAATAATATATATTTATATTTCTACATATATTAATTAATATTATATAAAAATGAAGAAATTATCACAATTGGATTGAAATCTCTTAAAATTCATGAATAAGAAATGCCCAATTTCGGTATACTATTATTCTCTTCTAAATAATGTTTGACAAATATTTAACTAATTAGAATATAACTATTTAAATTTAACTTAATTAAGATACAAGGTAATTTAGTTTGAAATATGTGATAATTCTTTTATTTTAAGAAACTATATTTTATCTTATAGAAATTATTATTTATATTTATTTCTGCGTTATTTTAATGTAAAATAACAAAACTAGCAACACAAAAGACGTATTTTTCTACTTTAATTTTTTTAATTCAATTTTAAAAAGGGTTAGTGTACTTTATTGAAATGATAAATTAAAAGCTTCATTTAATTTTAAAATTTTAAATAATTCGAATCATTTTTTCTTAGGGCTGACTTCCATAAATAAGTAGTAAATACAAAATGTATAATTAAGTCCGATAACTTTCCAGCATATTTTCATAAGATATAAAATTCTTGAAATTTTTTTCAATTTCAAGCATTATATATCATAAAAAGTTAAATTTCTTTTAATAATTTGTATTTATTTATTTTTTTCTAAAATAATTTGTTTATATAAATTTTTTTTGTTTAAAAAAATTTATATTTAAAAATTATAAAAGCTGCCCCAAATGAAACTTTATTGCTAAGATAGTTTTCTTACTATTTCTTAAAGCAAATTTTTAATATGAAAATTTTAATTTTTTATACTAAAAATAGTTTTAAGAAACGGTAAAAAAACCATTCCTAATTAATTAAGGAACCCTAAATAAGGAATTTTTATTACATCCGGTGAAAATACCGAGCAATACCGAGCATACCGAGTGTACCGAGGGCGCTATACCGAGCACTTTAGTGACGTGGCATTTTTTTTTATTGATTTCCGGATGCATTCGATAACCTGACGGAATAATCACTCCTAAATAAGGGCCGGCTTAATCCATTTTTAATAAAGGCTTTCGTCTCGCTTGGCTTTTTCTCTAGAGGTAGTGTAGGAAGCGAGTGCTCAAACTTTGACGACCGTTTGATTCTTGTATTAGTTAATATTATGTTGAATGGAACGTTCCAACTGCTGAAGATTTGACTTTACTTGTCTTGCAAAACAAGGGGTTTTTTTTTTTTTTTGCATTTTTTTTTATTTCATGGGAGTGCTTGCAGTGGGAATAATATAATATAAAGCGCAAAAATGAAAATTGTGCTGGTACGCCATCTCCACCGTCAATCTATAATACAGTGCTAATCTTGATTTGTTATCCTCACAAAGTTAGTGTGTGAGTAGACTACTTTCTGAAAAGTCTTATTTTTGGAGTTTTTGTTCTATCAAAGCAGCGGTTTTGCTTAAGGATAGTTTAGTTTGAAGATTTTCTTATTGAGAAAATAATTATTCAATTTTAACTTTTGAGTGTGTGTATATATATATGATAGGGAGAAAGTGTTGTGGGATATTAAGAGAATTCTAAGTTTATTTAATTATCTTATTTATTTTAATGTTTATTTTAATATTAAATTATTAATATAATTTATGACTTTAGTAATGTTTAGCATTTGTAATATGTGATCTTTGTTAGTGGGTTAGTAGTTGATTAGGATTTAGGATGCCATGAAGTGTATGTGCGTGTGCATATATGTGACACACAAGGATGTCGAGCTTGTAAGAAACTATCAATATAGTATATTGATATATGATGAAGGCCTAGTGAAGGATGTCTCCATATGAAAGTGCACATATATAATTCATCTCGCCATGCAAAGAGAAATCCACGGAGCTAATTTAGGGGGAATAGTCAGCTAAGACCCAATTTGTGTAGTTTGTGTTTGGTGGTTCTCTAATAGAGGAATAGTGATTATATATTTCTTCAATAAGAAAAACCACCCTCTATAGTGTTCTTCATTTCAAAGCTTAAAGTTATTGATGTTAAGAGTCATAGATGGATGCAATCAAGCCTTTTTTAAGGTAGCATGATTGAACTACAAATTGATTTTTTCATATATTATTTTTTATAGAGGCTGAGAATCTTACTTTTAGACGACAAATGAAAGAAGATAGACTAAAGGGAGCCTTTAAGATGGCTTTTTAGGCCAAGAAATGTAACTACCATTAATTAGATCGAGTGAATAATGACACAAAAATTTATCCAGTCATAAGGAGAATAATAATCCATTCATTTCTCAAATAGTGATCATTGAACTGATATAATAGTTTTACAATTTGTAAGAAATCTTCTCTAATTTGGCCTTGATTGTGGAAGATGAAGTGTAATATAACATTAATAAAGCTTCCATTATTAATTAGAATCATCTTTACATGGTGTAGCATGGGTAACATATCCTAGCACTAATAATGAATGCTACTTTATGTGGAGATTGAATCCTTTAATTTCAAGTAAAAGTCATATGATGGAGAGGTTGGTGCAAAATTTCCCTAGCATCAGCTCTTCAAAGGAGGTAAACAAACTTAGATCAAATTAGAAAAGTGACCCAATTGATAAAAAAAACTCACCAACATATATTGTGTATTTTTTTGCTTCACAATTATTTTCTATTGTGTCAAGAAGCAATCCATTATGGCTATATCATTAATAGCAGCTAAATATCGAATAGCTACAACCGTTATTATTTGGCTTTGGTGGTTGCTTCGGGTTATTCAAGCTTCGATCAACATCATAATACCACTCTTTTGTAAAAATATTTAAGCCTTTGTTTTTGCAAATATTTCTATTTTTCATGCATTAATTAAATATATTGATATAGATCATCATTTTATCTGTGAATTCACCATAAAATTATTATTGATCATATCTCAACTCATAATACTTCAAAAACTCTAAAAGAATGGAACATTAGTTTGCCAAGGCTGACGTACGTCTACATTTGAGCAAAAACTTTCCTTGATCACTTTCTGTATTTCACTCTCTCTGCATCTACTACCAGCTTTATTTTGAATCATTTAAGGACGTTCATGGCTAACACACTATGCAAGGTGAACCGTTGGATGAGCATATCCTCTAGTCCTATAACTAACTATTTTGTATGCATGATATACATATTGATCATTGAGGAAATGATAAGCAACTCGTCAAATGAAAAGGATATTATTGGCCTTATTAATCCTCCTTTCATGATGCACATCCAATTATTCATGAAATTAGGTTCAAACAAAATCAACCTAGTTCAAGCTAATTTACCACGGTTCAAGCCCACCTTACTTGATCTATTAGGTCTCAGCTCAAAAAAATTGTCAGCTTATAAGAGAACTCGCCTCAAGTGAACGACTACAATCTCAAAACTCATCCCAGACAATCAAATCAAGTATGATCTATAAAGTCAGCCCTTAGTGACTGCTCAATGGATTCTTCATTTGGGAAACTATTGATCAACTACTCAGCTATTCGACTATCAATGCATGTCAACTCAACGACTTCATAGGAGCGACTATCAATGCATGTCAACTCAACGACTTCATAGGAGCTCGACAAACCGCTTCATGAAGTCAGACACTTTGATCAAACCATTCAATTATTATATTTTTCTCTTATTTGTTTATTCATGCATGTAGCTAATTCTGTAATGCTCAAATTTCAACTTAAATTTGTAAATAAATAAATAAATAAATAAATATTTAATCAATTTTTAAGTTAAATTGAATAATTTGATTCAACGCGAATAATTTTCAAAAAAAATTGAAGTTTACAATTATCAGCCCAGAGTAGAGTTGTCAATATTGGACCTGACCCGAAAACCCGACCCCCGAGCGCGCCCACCGAGTCTGCCGCAGTGCCGCGCACGACCGCTGCCAAGCACGAGTCACGACCGTTGCGGCACTGCCCGCGTCTGCCCTAACGAGTTGCACTCGCGCCACCCCCGCCTACCCGCTGTCGCTAGCTGCCCGTTGCCGCGGCTGAAACAAGTGGGGTCGGGTTGACCCTAACCCGAACAGTGTCAGGTCTATTTCGTGTTTGACTCAAATCCGACCCGTCACCAAAATTGAAGCCCCTAAACCAGAGCATGGTATAGTTAGGTGCCTTTCCGATTTATTTGTGAGCTGTTTTTTGCAATTCGAGTGTTGGACGTCTGCTGACCATTTTCCAGAAGGGAGGGCACTCGCTGAAGACTGACGGTGTTGATCTTCCATTAATTATACCATGTGCTATATAATTCACTTGAGCCGGGTCCCCGCGCCGCCAGAAGGAATGTTGAACCGGCTGGTTGAACCGCAACGGTTTGAGTCAACAAAAGCCAACAGAGTGAGCCGGTCCTATCGGTTAACTCGAAAAACCAACAGCATTCGTGAGGCAAGTGGCTTCACATGAATTCACCCTTTTACTTGAAAAAATAATGTGTTTTCGATGTAATCTTTAACTTGCAAATCAATTAAATTTAAATTT